TTGTAAAATTTTATAATGATCGGTCCATAATTGACTCTACCGCCATATAATTTCCCCTTCAGAAAATGACTTTAACGCTCATAACTGTCTAAAAGAAGCATCTATAGCGATGAAATTCGACATGGGAACCTACATCGTTTTGTAAAATTTTATAAGGATCGGTAGCGATGAAATTCGATATGAACATATTTTATAGAAACCTAAATCGCTCTGTAAAATTTTATAAGGATCGGTCCATAATTGACCCTATTCACCATAAAAGGTCCACTTCAGAAAATGGCTTTAACGCTCATTACTAGCCAAAAAATGCGAGCGATGAAATTCAACATAAACAAGATTTGTATAAACTAAAATCGTTCTAGAAAATTTGACGAGGATCGGTCCATAATTAAACAACAAAAGATACATCTATTAAAATGGAAAATACAGATTTTGATATACCCTACATATGCAGTTATCCCAACAACATCTTATGCTTTAAAAAGAAATGGTTGAAACATCTAAATTCCAAAACTTTTGCCTTCTTCTGCTCAAGTATAACGATTTTTTTCTTTAGCGGAATGGTAGACCCTCCTCGAAGAAATAAATCAATAGGTCAATTATGTATCTCGATTGCCACTTCAACTGCGTTGCCAGTTGCCAAAGTGATATGGTTACTGAATGTTTTTTTGGCAATAACTTGAAAACTTTGTAAATAATGAACGTTTTATTCATCAATAATATTCGTCCAATGAGTTTTTGCTTGACTTAAACCATTTCTAGACTGACCTATTAACTTAAACTTTCAAATGAGTGAAACATTTCTCTGTTGAAAAAAATAGTGCAGCAATATTTTTTGAACTAATAATTTAGTGTAGAAAAAATTATTTCACTAGGCTGTAAAAACGGGGAGTTTTCCCGTTTTTCCTACCGAGCGCGTCCCTGGGTGGCGGATAGGGGGACCATCTGTCCTCCCACAGTTTTAGTTTGACTCAAGCTGAGGGAGCGCAGATTGTCCACCACCTGGGAATATTATATTCCCCACGGACCAAAAAACTGAAAAAAAAAACAACATGGAAAATAAAAATAAAAAGATGAAAGTTACGGTGCAGGGCCTAAATAACCCATTACCGGCGGCAAATGTTGATCCACTCGCGAGTCACGTGTCATCGTCATCCTGCAATCGTGAGCAAAATACTACTATGGTCGATGATACGGGCAGGAGGCTGGAGGATATGGAGGAGACAATGAAACCCCTAATGAACTTTCATTTCCCACCCGGTATATCGAATAACATAGATGAACCGATATTGGAGGAAGGAAAGGCTAAGACGGAAATTGTAATTACATCGAATATGGTTAAAGGGGCAATCAAGAGCTTCGCTCTCTATAAAGCTGCAGCGCCGGATGGCATTTTCCCGGCACTCTTACAGATGCAGGTGGGACTGGTTTCGTACATCTGTCTCAGATATTCACTGCATGCTTGAAATTTACATAAACTCCGATTAAATGGCAGGATGCAATGGTAATATTTATACCTAAACCAGGGAAACCTAGCTATTCGACACCTAAGTCTTATCGACAGACAAGTCTTACGTCCTTCCTACTTAAAACCTTGGAACGGATAGTCGATAGTATGGTTAAAAGCAGTATACCCTACAAAGACCTAAAATTTAAGCAGCATGCTTATGTAAAGGGACGATCGGTGGAAACCGCTTTTAACGAAGTTGTCCACTACATAGGTGCATCCTTTGAAAGCAAACTATATACATTGGCGGTATGTATTGTCATCAAAGGCGCTTTCAATAACGTGCACACTGATAGTCTTATTCAAACCTTAGACCAGTTTTATGTTGACCAGGTGCTCCGTAACTGAATCAACTACATGCTAAGGAACAGATGGATAAGCGAGATGTACGATATTACTATTAGGAAAAAAGTATTTCGCGGTATACCACAGGGTGTAATCCTCGACCGGAAATTAAAATGGAGACACCACATAGAGGATAGGATCAACAAGGCACATCGGTGCTGGGCGATATGTAGGAGAACTATAGGCATGAAATGGGGTCTTAGTCCTACTATGACAAACTGGCTTTATAAAAGTGTAATTAGACCAATTCTAGCTTATGCTTCAATAATCTGGTGGACTGCTTTAGACAAAAAGTGCAATATCAAACTACTACAGGGAGTTCAGCGTACATGGGTATAAGTGGTGCCATGTGTACTACTTCAACCAAAGCTCTGGAAACGTTGCTAGATATTCCACCCATTGAAACATATTTAAGATATGAGGCGGCGCTTACAGCCGAACGGCTATTTACTTTAGGCGAACTGGCCAAAAGCGGTTATAGGACACGTCATCAATGTATACTGGACACATTGGAAGGTTATACAAAAACATCGGACGTGCCTGATCGTATACCAGACACAGAATATGTCGGAAACTTTGAAACGCTGATCCCAGATAGAATGTCTTGGTAAAGCGGAACATTAGAGCAAATACCAGTAGGAATCCGTTGTTACACGGATGACTCTAAATTGGGGACGAAGTGGAGCTGGGGTTCTATATTGAAGACCCAGAAACAGAAATATACCACAGTTTACCAAATCATAACACAAGCTTCCAGACAGAAGTACGAGCAATAACGGAATGCGTAAATTGGATTAGAATAAATATGGCGCCCACAGCGCTTAATATATTCACCGATAGACAGAAGGCGATTAGGGCGATATTAGGCGATAGAACTAAATCTAAGACCGTATTGGATTGTAAGAAAGCTTTAACTGAATACTCTCCCAGAGGTAAGGTTCACATCATATGGGTACCAGCCCACTCGGGAGTAGTCGGTAACGAAAGGGCGTATGTAATAGCTTTAAAGGGTAGGGAGCTCGAGGCAGTTAACCTGACAAATGCGAAACCATTCGACGCAACAAAAGCTGAACTAAAAATATGGGTGAGAGAATCCCATAAGGCCTCTTGGAATAATGAAACAGTGGGTAGAACCACGAAGATCCTGATGAAAGAAAGACGAAAAATCTCCTCAAATTGAGCAAGTCTGAAGTTATTATGATGGTACGTATAAGGCCTCTTGGAATAATGAAACGGTGGGTAGAACCACAAAGATTCTATGGGGTGACCCTGATGAGAGCAAGACGACAAATCTCCTCAAATTGAGCAAGTCTGAAGTTATTATGATGGTACGTATTCTGAGGGGACACACAGGATTACGAGCACATCTATGCAAAATTGGACGTGCGGATTCAGACGAATGTAGAGCATGTGGTGAGGACAGTAAAACTCTGGAGAACTTTCTTTGCCACTGCCAGGCATTCGTCGAAGTTAGATCCAAGTATCTTGGAAGTGATGTTATTCCTGAGAAAACATTCCTGACTAACACTGATTGGAAGATTCTTAGGAATTACGTTCAGGAAACTGAGTTTCTGAACACTGAAAAATAATTCATTCAGTTCCCTTTTTTTCATGATAAGGACGCACACCAGGCCCGGTAGTAGCCTAGGTGTATTTCTTCGGATTTGATGTAGTATACATCCTCCTATCAACCTACCTACCTTTAAAAATTTTCGATTAATCGTTTAATTGAAAATTTTTTTAAATTAATTTTTTCTGTGATTACAATTGAATTTAAAAATTTTTAACCATCCAGGAAAAATTTTAGAACTTGTCCTAAAAACAACTAGTTCTGGAACGAGAACAAACAGAACCACTTCAGATTCTTAAACAACAACCTTGGAACTAGTGGTGTCGCCATTACATCTGGAACCCATTCTTCGGAACATTGTTGTGGTTCTTAAATACTTCTAAATAGTCTTCAAGGAACTAGTTATACATTGCTACTACACTAGTTCAATGGAACGCATACTAGTTCCGAAACAACTTCTTGGAATCAGTTGAAAAAAATTTCAAAAAATTAAAAATTCATAAAATTTATTTTATTGAAATAGAAAACACTTTCATATGTATTTTTTCTGATTGGAAGATTCTTAGGAATTACGTTCAGGAAACTGAGTTTCTGAACATTGAAAAATAATTCATTCAGTTCCCTTTTTTTCATGACAAGGAACGCACAACAGGCCCGATAGTGGCCTAGGCGTATTTCTTCGGATTTGATGTAGTATACATCCTCAAAAATTGTATTAAACATATTTTTCTTTCGTTCAAATTGTAATAGAAGGAATTAAACAAATAGGAATGATCATTCAATAGAATTCATTCCTATAAAAAATTAATTCTCTTAGAAATTAAGTGAATGGAAAATAAAGCCAAGGAATTCAGTTTTAGAATTTTAATTCAAAAATTAAAAACCGAATTAATAATATAATAAATATAATTAATTCTTTCTAAGTTGGCCCTTATGATAAAGGACATTTTCTATATGTTTTTGGCCCTTTTGACACGAGTAACTGAAGTTCCGTCTAACGTTACCCAGCAAAAAATAATTAATGTCATACTTTACAAACGACATCTTAATCACATCTAAAAATGCGATTGCATACTTTTCGCTTTTATAAACCAAACATATCCTTACAAATAAAAACACAGTTAAAAATGGGAAAAGAGATATATAAAAGTCACTACAAACAATATATTCGAAATACTTAAAATTTTGATGAAAAGCCAATGAAATTTACATAAGCGTTTCATTGAAAGAATGTGGTTTGTTTTTGACATATAAATATCGGATTTTTACATAGATATGCTTAGATGTAGTTCAAAGTTGTCAAAAATTAACAATATCCCTCCAATGACACGCTAATGTAAAATTCATAGGTTTTTCACCTAAATTTGGTTACTAGTTGTGATGAAAATTCTACATCTTTTTCCACACTTTTTTTGCTGGGTATCCAAAGTTTTTCAGTCGATTAATTTTGGAATTACCCAATATATAAATACCACATTTGAATGATATACTTTTTTAAAAGAAAGCTTTGCTATAATTATCTATACGTGTTATTTACCATAATGGTAAATAAATCTTATGAATTTAAAAAATACTTACTGGCCACCTCGATTAGCATCGACTTTTGCAGGAGCCCTGGTGAATGCTGTAACCATAGAGTCCTTTGTTAGAACATTATACAAATCATTAGCACAGCACTGGAACTCTTCTTCAATAGATATTGTACAAACATCCAATTTACATCCCAGAGATGATACTGGCCTTATTTCCGATTTTGGGAGATCTGTAGCATATGGTTTTACATTTTTTTTACATTCAATTGTTTGAGTACTATCTTTTATAGGCAATATTAAATTTTTAGAATATTCTTCTTTAAGCTCAGTAATGTATACTCCCAATATTTGTCGAATTTTTTCTCTTCCAACATTATACATAAATTGTTTTATATTTTCTGATGTATCATTAGATTCATCAATAGTAATTGTAATTTCAATATCACTTAATTCATTTTCTTCCGACAAATTGGGTATTGAAATTTTGCCAGTATGTGATGATGAAGATGGCTTTAAAAAAGAACCTTTCCATTTTAGAATTAGATCCCATTCGTAGAAAAAAATTAACTTTCCTTTTCGATTATTTGCTGTTGCTTCACCAGAGCATTTTTCTACCGATTCAATTGTACATCTTATATTATCGTCACCTGTTTCATATGAACAAAATATAATTAAAATTACTAATTTTAATAAATAAAATTTCACCTATCGTTAAATTTTTAAATAGATGGTTAAATCTATCCTTTGACCATGGAGTAGCATTTTTCTCGGTCCAATGCCAGTTGTTCACATTTGTAGCATCTGGACGTTCCTCAACAATCCAACGAGGATCACCTTCACCCCACTTAGCCATTTAAAAAAAAAAACGAAAAACAAATGGATTCTTCAATGTACTTTTGAGTAAATTATGATTGAATTTTCCAGAAAAACATGTAACATAACCTCTGTCAAATACAAGGTTACCAGATCACAATTTCTAGAAAAATCGCTAAATAAATGCCACTAACTCTTATATACCGGCGACGGCAAAATTATCGACAAATCTATGCTGAGAATTTGTTCTTTTCAGAAAATTTCTATATATGCGTTTGTTATATAGAAAAATGTTTTTATTTTGGTTTGTTGGATAGAAAAGTATCTCTATATAAGTATTTTCGATAGAAAATAGTCATTATTACAGTTATTTTTATGAAAAATTGTCTCAAACAGTTTTTTATACATGAAGACATAATGATGTGGCAACTCTTGTCAATTTGTCTGAAAAAAGTGGCAACTCAGTTCAAATTTTTTAAGAAAAACATAAGTTTTTGAGTCGTGTCTAGGATTTCGTTCCCGGGAAGCGTCGGGAAAAAATTCCCGGGAAATGGAGTGATTTTTAGATTCCCGATTCCAGGGAATTTTAGTCGGGAATCCCGGGAATTAAAAAGTAGTAAATATGCAACTATGCTTATTGTAACACATTTTATACAACAAAAATGGACAGGTATTCCTTCAAAAAGTTTCCCGCGGGACACTTCAATACATACTCATATGTATGTATTTATAAAGAAAATAATAAAGTATTTTATTTACTTTATTTAAATAAAGATTGGCTATCGTTTCCTCAGCTCTACTACCGTTATCTCTAAAATATCGTTACCGAACTACCGTTATTTTATATTATTTTTAAATAATTTTTCCTATATTACACCTTTAAAATACCCTCTTATCTCACTACCATTGCCGCTAAAATAACGTTACCGAAATAATCCAAATACCGTTACCCTTATCTTTTCACTGCTTCAAAACTATTGCCAACCCTGATTTTATATATACATATTTTTAAGTTGCATGATATGTTAAAAAAATTCAATAAAACATCGCGCAAACGCTTTTTTAATTAATTTTTTATTTTATCGGGAATTCAAGGGTTCCCAGGAATGTGAATATTTTTTCCCCGATTCCCGGGAATCAAAAAACGTCGGGAATTTGGAAACCCTAGTCGTATCACCAAAACACTATTTCCCTCTCTTTCGCACAAAACCATTTCAATGATTTTTTTACTTGTATTTTATATACCTCTTCTCACAAAACAATTTCAAAATAAAAAAAAAAAACTGATTTTAGAGTTTTTCAAATGTCAAAAGTGACACCTCTGTATACTTTGTACCTTTTGTGCATGTTCCACTTACGCCAGTACATGTTACAAACACATCAATTTTAAAAACTCCAGAGATCTACACAAGGAATAGGCTTGTCAGATTTGAAATCAGCAAAAAACGTATATCGTAGTCAGTAAAACAGTACAATTGAATAAAAAAGTACAATTAAAAAAAAAATTAAATTGTTCTAAAAACGCTAGACTGAAATTGGTTGTTATGATTTTTAACAAAAAACTTATATAAAACCATGATACAACCATAGAAAGGTAGAATCAGTAGGGAGAGTTGTCAATTCTCTGCCTTGTTAAGTCAATCAAAAAAGAACTAAAAAGAGAAAAACTTCAAAATCTTCAAATGAAAAACCACGCAAAATACCATGAAATGTGCTTTGAACGGTACACGCAAAAAGCATTTTACTCTTCTGTATCCTGTACCCCGTTTCTGTAATTCTTACATCGAGAAAATCTGTCGAAAAATTCATGATCATCTTGTATAAAACAGGGTGAATACAAGAAATTTAAAAATTTCTTATTAAATTTTAATGGTACAGTCAAAGAATAAATAAGAAATGAAACTGTTGTCAAAAGTACCTAAGTCTACTGTCATCCGGTACCTAACTCTAATAATGTATTCGTAGAATTCTCAAGTCAACATAGTTGCAAAAAATCGTATTGAAAAATATTGAAAAAAAATATTACATTTCAATTTATACTTTGAAAGGTTTCTTAAGATATTTTCCACATATTTTATCTACAAACATTTTATAAACACGTCTATTTGTTTTTTAATCTATAATATTGAAAAAAATAAATTATTTATTTGAAATATCTTTTTCGTTTACCATACGATAAATTACAACATTGTTTTTTTTAGTTTTAATTTCAACCAACAAAAATTCAATATCAAAAAATAAAAAATATTTTTTTTTTTCGTTTGTAAAAAATATATTATTTTCGGGCTATTAAATGTGTTTAAATTGTGCAAAAAAATTATAAAATGTAATGTTAAGTGATAAAAAATATTTCAAAGTGCTATTATCCTCAAATTTTCGCGAAAAAGTTTTGAAGTTTGGAGAGAGAATAAAATTTTTACATATGTGTTGGATTTACACAGCACTCGTCTGTGAGAAGAGCGTAATGTTATTGTTGTAAAAAAATGACAGCGTTTCACTTCTTGTTTATTCTTTGGGTACAGTTTAAAAATAATCAGAGTCACGCTGTTAAAAACTGGAAGACTATTATATATTAAGTTTTTTCTCGATTCGAGAAAATTACAGAAACGAGGTACTGTTTACGATTTTTATTGGTCTTTTTTATTCAAATTATCCAATTTTATTTTCTTCACAAAAAATTTTCAATAATTTTTATTTGATGTTTTTTTTTATATTTTTTAATTTTTATTTATGATATAAAACTAATTTATGACAAATAAAAATAATCCAATTACAAATCATTTTTTAATATTAGTGTGCTATTAATTTATATATTTTCTTTAAAAAAATGTAAAATTCCCTAAATTTTGTTTGTTTGGTTTGTTTACATTTTCAAATATCAACCATTTGTTGTGAACATATGTTTGTTTGATTTCTTTCTATGGAAAAAAAATATCCAGTAAGATAAAAAATTCCCTATCTCTGTTACAAAAAACGTTACAACTTTTACTCTGTTATTCAAATTTGTCATTCTTCAAACATCCTCAGATACTTCATTTTCGAAAATTAGCCACCCTGCTACAAAAAATAAGAATGGCAGTAGTTTTTTAAAAATCGTTCCACAGCGGGACTGGATAAAAGCCATCGAATAGGTACTTACACGACGGAGCATTATGGACCATTTTAACATTCAAATATGTCCTTCACATTTGCCGTCTTTTTTTATGCCGAAAATTCATTAAAAACTTTCATTATTTATTTATTTATTTATTTATTTATTAAAAATTCATTGTAATATAAAAGTCCCACTGGACCAAAATAACTTATATTACGTAGACAAAAATACCTGAATATAATACATATTTACATGTGAAACTTATATAAAAGAAAATCCTATTCAATGCCACTTATAAATAATTATCGCTAATGGCTCCCCAACCATAAAATAAAATAAAATTATGTAAAAAAATGTCCCATCAATAGCAGCAAGATACACTTAAAATTCCATTAATCTAATTATTTCATTAAAGAGAATGTAATAATACTTCAATATTTTAATATTTTAAGCACATTCAGATAGAGCCCTCAAAGTATTTCAGGAGTTTCAGACGAAATACATTATTCGAATGTGAAAATATTCGAAGTTCAAAAGGCAGTAGATTCCACCACCGAGCTACTCTTACTACAAAAGCTTTATCAAATAAGTTATTGCGTATCATAGGTATAATAACCTGAGGATTTCGGGTGGAACGAGAAAAATTAAATTCCGATCTCAGTTGAAACGGCAATCCGCTTTTAACCACCCTAAAGAACATCAACAGATTTCTAAGTGATATAAATTCCCTAAATGAACAGCCTAAAAATGATCTTACATATCCAGAAATATGCATCCTTCTACGAACATTATAAACATAACGAACGATTACATTTATAATTCGATTTAAACCTAAGATATTGTAAGACACAGTACCAGAAAAAACCTCTAGACCATAGCAAACATGTGGCATTAAAAGAGCATAGGCTAATTTACGTTTAATGACATGGGTCAGATATATACTGGACGAATAAAAACTCCTCAGAAACCCAACAATTATACCATGTAAATGATTAATATGATAAGAAAAATTAAGTTTGTTATCAACAAACACCCCTAAACATTTAAACATATCAACAAACTCAATTGTTGATCCACCAATATGTATATTAAGATTACTAATCGATGTACCAAACAACATAGCCTTAGACTTTGAAGAATTAATTTCGAGCGAATTATCCCTTGCCCACAGCCCAACTTGATTTAGGGTATAGTTCACAGTCGATTCGAGCACATCCTCATTATCACAGTCAGACATAAAAAGTAGAAAAATATCATCCGCAAATAAAAACGGCCTACATACATTTGTGTCAATATATTCAGTAAGATCATTTACATATAGTAAAAAAAGCAGGGGTCCCAGGACCGAACCTTGAGGCACTCCAGAATTTAAAGACAGTATACCCGAACATACACTATCCAACTCCACAAACTGAGACCTATGAGACATGTAAGAAAAAATAAATTTGCATGCCGATCCAGAAAATTTAAACAATACCCTCAACTTATTAATCAATACACAGAAGTCAATGGAATTAAAGGCCTTAGTTAAGTCCAGCGATATCAAAGAACACATCTCTCTATTATTAACATTCTGACGAATAGTATCAGTCAAACTAAGCAGCAGCGAAGTGGTGCTATGACCACTACGAAAAGCATATTGAAAAGGAGTGATTTTACTATTAACAAAATAATGCATTTGATATTTCACAACATGTTCCACTACCTTGGATAAAGCTGGGAGTATAGAAATAGGTCGCAAATCATCAACACTACGGACAGTTTTACTTTTAGGGAAAGGAACAATGCGGGCAATTTTCCAAGCTGAAGGAAATATTGAAGATGTTAAGATGGAATTCACATGATATACCAGCAAGTGCGAAATATAAGGGTAAATTATTTTAATAAAACGTATAGGTATACCATCAACACCAACAGCCCTAGATTTAACTTTACATAACGCTAGGACTAACTCATCCGCACTAATAGATCTAAAAGAGAAAGAACCAATTTCATTATTAAATAAGTTAAAATTTGGATAATCTAAATTTGATGAGCTCGTACTATTAACAAAATACCTATTAATATCATCAACATCAGT